GGGGGCCTGCAGGCGAGGCTGGCGGATGAGGGGGGTGTCAGGTTTGGAGAGCGGCCCTTTGTCTTTCTGAGTCTTACTGCTTGGGTTTCTTCTGTTTGATGGTTTGGTTTGTTTAATACGGTAGTAACTGTGGCTTGAATTGATCTTGCCCTTTGTTCAGTTGGGAGCTGAAAACGCAGACAGTATCGGAGCCGTGCTGAACAGTAAAGATGACCAGCGGGAGATCGCTGAAGCAAGAGAAACGTGTCGGTTAGTGTGCAGTTTCTGTCAGAAATTATGGGGGTTTAATAGCAATGGAAGTCTTCGAAATAGGGTGAGGTTGTGCTGAAGAGAGCAAGATAAAATCTTACCAGGTATTTAAAAGCATGCAACTTAGTGAAAATAAAATGCTTTAATTACTCAAATGTGACCTTTGAGTAAGGTGAGTATGGAGTTCAGTCATTCACTTTTAATAGTAATTTGAAAGACAGGGCAAACTTTTGCTTCTTATATTGAGAAACTATTGTGGAGCAAAACTGAGGCGTGAATTTGAAATATGCCTTCTGCATTGCCCTAGAACCTTTATGCTTTCTCTCAGGAGCAGTTACAGGGCAATTTAGTTTAAAAGTTCTTATGGAACAACAGATACCTCTAGGACGTAGTAGCTAGTGTGTATTAATTCTCATATGTAACGGTATGTTTCTTGTGTGAGTATGCTTAATTTTGTAGATGCATGGTTAAAATAGGATATATCTTCTGGAACAGAAAAATGAGGAAGCAAGATACCTGTTTTCAGGACTTCTGTCCTTAAGAAGTTGTGCCAGTCTCAAATACACAGAGGAACAACTTCGCATATGTGAAGTTTCACAGTAATTTCAAACTTGTAACAGTAACATGTAGTAAAGACAGATTATAGGAGATTTCTGAAATGTTTGGTTTGGAGAGAGAAACTGTTTATATGATAATTCTTTTTGCATCTTTGTAGGGCTGCTTATGATACTTCTGCACCAAATGCAAAACGCAAATACCCAGATGAGGGAGAAGCTGATGAAGAAGAGATTGAAGAATATAAGGTAATAGCAAAAGGAAAAGTTGCTTTTTCTGTGGTGTTCATGTGTCTGTCAGGGATTTTTAAAGTATGTATGTGCACATAAACAAAAGTGCACATATGTCCCTCGGTGTCAGCTCCCTGGATTATTTTCCACTGCAGAGATCTAAGAGGGGAGGATTAATGCAAAGTGGTTGTCTTCAGATGTGACTTAGGTGCATTGAGCTGTACAGGCACCAGAACCCAGTGGTTGGAGGCTTAATTTAGTTTAGAGTCTTCTGGGAGGAAGGAGGCTTAGGTGATAGTGCCCACAGCCAAAGGCAGTGTGTGGCATGGCTGGCTGTCTTATATGGGAAGATGTGGTAAATTCTCTGTGCTCTTGGGTACCCAAAGAACATAAATCTTGACCAGAATTTCTTTCTGTGATATGAAAAGTGTGCATCTAGCAAGAGGCACCAGCCATTGGATGAGATACAGGGAGGCTGAGGGTGTCTTCCAGCCTGCCTGTTAAATGCAAAATCATGCAGTTCTGGATGAATGGAACAAGTAAAAAATTCAAAGGGAATGGAAGTAAGAGGCTTGGTTTTTGTTGTGCTGTAAGTATCCCAAATATCCAGGAAAAGTTCAGTTCAAAACCCAAAAGAAAACACTTCCATGGTCACTGAAGTATGAGTGGTTGCCAGACTGTTGTGCCTTTCATTTTTCAAATGCTCATCCAAGAACCAGCAGTCCTTGCTAACAGGTCATTTTTTTAATGATGAATTACTAAAGTCTTTGTAAGTGGACAGACATTGTAAGTGTGGTTTGGGTATCTCGTCTAGCAAATCAATTAAGTCACCATTTGAAAGAAGGGATTTACCGAGTATGTGCACTGACTGCACACTGTAATTGGGAGTTTTATGCTTGCATTAGTGGTTGGCCTGTATCAGGTTATTTTACTCCTTCACCAAGTATGTGGTTAAACAACTGATATTTTTCTTCTGTGGAATATTTATGGGTAAGTCATGTCAATTGTCAAAGTGCTATGAATCTGTCATTAAATTTTCATTAGCATGGAGAAGACTTACCCTGAAATGGTCTGTAGTAACCACTGGCAAGTGGCCAGATGCATGCTGTATTTTAGAAACTGAAGAATATGTTAATAACTGTCTCAGATTAATAGATTTAAGAAACTTGAAACCCCCAAGCAGAATATCTATTGTGGAGTCATCAGCTGTTTTCTGCAGGTGTTGTTAATTCCTTGTTGGCAAGGCAATAAGAATTTAGTAAAATCCTGTCATGTAACTTCTTCATTAGTACTTTGAGCCTGTTTAAATTTAGTTTTGTAATATGAACTGGTACAAAAATCTAGATTCTTATGATATCAAGCCCTATTGGATTGTGTTTGGTAGACAAAAGTAATAATAGACTTAACTATTAGTGTTGCAGACAAATATTGCAAGTGTGTTGGCTTTGTTAGGAAAATTAGGTTTGGGTATTTCCAATCTAAAGTGACTCATATGTCTCTCAAACCTTGACTTTCAGTGTTGGGTTCTGCATGATGGTAGCAGTTAATCCTTTCAACATGTTTTAGAATTTTTGTGCCCTGACTTCAGATTTGTTGGCAATGAATATGTTCTCAAACCTCTACTGCTCTAGCTGGAGCTTGAGCATCCAGCTGTAATTGCTGGTGAAAGTGGGTTGCTGTGAAGATACAACATTTTGTTTACTGTGATGCAGCCTGATGGTGCAGAGTCTGCAGGGGTAGAGTGTGCAGATGTGGGCATGAAGCCTTTAAACAAATGTAGCTGGGTGCTTTAGAGGTTTTCTGTCAGTTTGTAGTGTTTCAAATGGGAGGTGAGCAGATGACATCTAAATACCTTATGCTGATGTTTTTAGAGAAGGCTGAACTTTTTCTCTGAGGGAAGTTAGAGAGCAGTTTTTCTGAGATTAAAGATGAAATATGTTAATCTCAGCCATTCAACAACATCTGATACAAAAAAGGCCTTTTTTGGTGTGTTTGCTTTTGTTTTTTAGTGATAGTTCATAATAAAGAGTCAGGCTGAACTAGAAATAAAGGGCAGCAAGGCAGCTCGTTAAGCTTATTGCTGGCAGCTTGACTTTTGTCTTGGAGCCTGACCCTGCGTTGCAAACCATAGAAATGTGGACATGGGAAGAAACGCTTTTTTAGCAAAAAACATATGGATATTTTAAGATCAGAAAGTTGAATTGTGGTTCTAAAGAAATTCTGCAATAATCTTTGTTTTGTGGTACTGTAGCAATTGTACCAGGTTTAGTTGAGCTCCCTTGGAAGTTACAGACAATGGGACAAAACTGCTGCAACTCCCAGGCTTTTTTTAGCCTTCTGAGTGCTGTAATTGTTGCTCCACCTCTCCCCTTCCCCATGTGAATTTATGCAATTGTTTGCACCTGTATGAGCATCTGGTATCAAGGGTGTTTTGCGGCAAAAAGCTTGCAAAGTTTTAACTTTGTACCAAGTAAAAAGAAACACCTGTGGTACAATTTGCTGTCTGCCTGCCTAATATAATCAGGGCTGGTTTTACTTTGTTTCTGCAAGCAGTGGCCTGTGAGCTTGGAATGCTTCCATGCCAGACTCTTCTGGAGGCTGAAAACATCTTACTTGTTTGAACCATGATAATTGCTTGGTGTATCTCTTAGTCATTTGAAAAAATTTAATGCTTGAATATTGTGGGTAGTTTTTGTTTCCCTTACTCAGCAACAATATGCTAGATTTGAAAAACAAGGATTATTACCATAACCTAATATATTAATAATTTCATTCTGTCTCTGCTTTGACTGTGTTCTTTTCCCTTTGAAGGCTGGTGGTGTGGGCTTTATTTTTTGTGGGCACAACTTTTTTTAAAAATGACTTATGAAGGCATGAAGATAACTGAGATGATTCAGAAGTAGGTGCCTAATGTGTGCTTATCATCAAAAGGCTAAGATTTAGAGGAAGAAGGGAAACAGGTGTAAGCTTATGATGGTGTAAGCAATTTGTCATGAAATTCAACTTTCAGCTTTATTTTTGCTTGAATAACAGTTGCTGCTGCTTGTCTGCTGTTCATTCCTTGTGAACATTGTTGCTGTTTCTGATAGTAATTTTTCTCTTTTTGGTCTGGTTAACAAAAAAAAGCTATTGTCTTTGTATGTCCTTCACCTGAATAATGGGGAGTGGGAGTCTGTGACCTGTTAACTTGGTTCAAAGCTCACATTTGGAAAGAGAACTTATTTAAAAATTTTAACAGCTAAATGCATCAAAATAGGGAGAACACTTAATTTCTACTTCTGCATTCAGACAGCTTATGTAGCATAGAGTAAATGTTGCAGTAATAAAAGCCCCTTTTCTGCATATTTTGACTTAAAATGAGTGTCGAGGGAGAAGCTAAGTTCTTTTCTGTGAGAAAACTAGTTCTCCATCTTGTATTTCAGTGTGTTTAAAGTACCTCTTAAAAAAAAATTTCAGCCTTGCAGCTGCTTTTCTCCTCACATGAAGCACTATATTAACTGATTAAGATTTCTGTTGTAATCAATAACATATGAAAGAGCATATGTATCCTACTGAAATACAGTAGATCACAGGATTGTCATGTGTTGTGGTTTGGGCCCAACACGACAACAGAGGAGCAGCCCCATGGCTGCTCACTCAACTCTCCCCCCTACTCACTCTGGGATGAGGAGGACAAAGCTCATGGGTTGACACAAAGGACAAGGAGGGTTCTTGACCAATTAAGGTCCTGGGCAAAACAGACTCAACTTGGGGAAAAAAGATAATTCAATTTCACACTAATCAAACGCAGGGCACAGGCAATGCAAAGAAGGTCCGGAACATTATGGTTGAAAAAGACCTCTTAAGATCTCCGAGTCTGACCATCCACCTATGGGAAAGAAACAAAAAAAAAATTTCAGCCTTGCAGCTGCTTTTCTCCTCACATGAAGCACTATATTAACTGATTAAGATTTCTGTTGTAATCAATAACATATGAAAGAGCATATGTATCCTACTGAAATACAGTAGATCACAGGATTGTCATGTGTTGTGGTTTGGGCCCAACACGACAACAGAGGAGCAGCCCCATGGCTGCTCACTCAACTCTCCCCCCTACTCACTCTGGGATGAGGAGGACAAAGCTCATGGGTTGACACAAAGGACAAGGAGGGTTCTTGACCAATTAAGGTCCTGGGCAAAACAGACTCAACTTGGGGAAAAAAGATAATTCAATTTCACACTAATCAAACGCAGGGCACAGGCAATGCAAAGAAGGTCCGGAACATTATGGTTGAAAAAGACCTCTTAAGATCTCCGAGTCTGACCATCCACCTATGGGAAAGAAAAAAAGCCAAACCAACAACAAAACAAGCCACAACCACACACCCCACAAAACCAACAACACACACCCCACAAAAAATGCACTGTGGCCCCAAGAGCATGCACTGAAGTGCCACATCTATATCTTTCTTGAATACCTCCAGGGATGGTGACACTGCCTCCCTGGGTAGTCTTTTCAGTGCCTGACTACTCTTGTGGTAAATAAATTTTTCTTAATATCTGGTCTAAACCTTCCCTGCTGCAACTTCAGGCCATTTTCCTCTATTCCTCTCATTAATCACTAAGGAGAAGAGGCCAACCCCCACCTCACTACAACCTCCTTTCAGGTAACTATAGAGAGCAATGAGGTTCTCCCCTCAGCCTCCTCTTCTCCAAACTAAATAATCCCAGTTCCCTCAGCCACTCCCTGTATGACTTGTTCTCTAGACCCTTCACAAGCTTGGTTGCTCTTCTCTGGAAACGCTCCAGCAACTGTATTGGAGAACTGCAAAGCAAAAGCTAGATTAGCCAGATACCTTCAAACCTTAGGAAAGTTTCTTACTCAAATGTGAATCTCAAGGTATGGCTTCTTTACTCTGTGCTTGCAGTGTTTTGTTTTGTGTGTGGGTCTCTGAGCTGCAACTGCAAAAGTCACAGAATCACACAGAATCGTCATGATTAAGATCACTGAGTTCAACTGTCCATCCAGGAAAAAGAAATAAAAAACACAACCACACCCCACAAAACCAACAACACACAACCTTGAAAACCCACCATTCCCACTAGAGCATGCCTTGAAGTGCCACATCTATGCTTTCTTGAATACCTCCAGGGATGGTGACTCCCCCAGCTCCCTGGGCAGCCTGACTACTCTTGGTAAATAAATTCTTCCTAATATGTAGTCTAAGCCTCCCCTGGCACAGCTTCAGGCCGTTTCCTGTAGTCTTACTGTTACTTACCTCAGGTAGCTGTAGAGAGCAATGAGGTGTCCCCTGAGCCTCATGTTCTCCAAACTAAATCCCAGTTCCCTTATCCTCTCCTCATGGGGATTATTCTCTACTCTCAGCATGCTCCAATACCTCAATGTCTTTCTTGTAGTGAGGGGCCCAGAACTGAGCACAGTATTCAAGGTACGGCCTCACCAGTGTCCAGTACACTGAGCAGTTACTTCTCTGGTCCTGCTTGTCACTTTTTGTGGTTCAGGCCAGGATGCTATTGACCTTGGCCACCTGGACGCACTGCTGGCTCATGTTCATCTGACTGTCAGCTGGCACCCCCAGGTACTTTTCTGTTGGGTCGCTTTCCAGCCACTCTGCCCCAGGCCTGTAGCATTGCAAAAAAATCAGTAAAAAGAAAAATTGGCTTCATCCTGGCTCAAACCAGGACAGTTGTGACCAAAATGCAGGACTCAGCACTTGGCCGTGCTGAACTTTGGCCCATTGAGCCACCCTGTCCAGGTCCTTCTGCAGAGCCTTCCTACTCTCGAGCAGATCAACACTCCCACCCAACTTGGTGTTGTTTATGAACTGACTGAGGAAGTACTCAGTCTCCTCATTTAGAACATTAATAAAGATATTGAAAATGACTGTTCCCAAAACAGCCCTGGGGGACACCACTGGTGACTGCCTGCCGGTTGGATCCAGCACTGTTCACTACAACTCTCTGGGCTTGGCAATCCAGCCAGTTAACCAGAGTGCACTTGTCTATGCTATGTGCTGCCAGCTTCTCCAGGAGAATGCTGTGGGGGACAGTGTCAAAGGCTTAACTGAAGTTTAGGTAGACAACATCCACAGCCTTTCCTTCATTCACTAGATGGGTCACCTAATCATCAAAAAAGATCAGGTTGGTCAAGCAGGACTTGCCTTTCCTGAACCTGGGTTCTGATCTGGGTCTGACCTGGCTATTCTGCACTTGATATGTGAGTGCACTCAAGATTAATCTCTCAATGATTTTCCCTGGTATAGAGGTCAGGCTGACAGGCCTGTAGTTCCCTGCATCCTCCTTTGGGTCCTTCTTGTAGATAAGCATCACATTCGCCAGCCTCCAGTCATCTGGGACCTCCCTTGTTAACCAAAACTGTTGATAAATGATGGAAGGAGGCTTGGCAAACTCCTCTGCCAGCTCCCTCAGTACTCTTGGGTGGATCTCATCTGGCTTCATAGACTTGTGAGTGTCCAGATGCTGTAGCAAATCCTTAGCAGTTTTCTCCTGGATTATGAGGAGGTTGTTCTGCTCTCTATCTTTATCTTCTAGCTCAGGAGGCTGAACACCCTGGTGGTAGCTGATCTGACCGTTTAAGACAGAGGCAAAGAAGACATTAAGTATCTCAGCCTTTTCCTCATCCTTAGTTGCAATGTTCCCCGCACCCTCCCCCCCCCCGGCCTTTCTAATTTTCTCTCTGTATGACCTCATAAAAGATCCCTGTACTTATCTTGAGTTGCCTGCCCTTTCTTCCAAAGGTGGTAAACTCTCTGATGAGCAAAAAGTTTGTGACACTCATTGGGAAAGATAATTGCAATATATTTCCTGTTTTCTGTAAATTTTGAGGCTACAAAATGAGAATTTTAAAGTTAATGTTTAGGACAGTCCAAATGAAATACTGGCTGGTAGCATGTGTTCGTTCTATAAAGTGTGGACTTTAACAGGCTCATATAGAGGAGATGGTTTCAGGTGCTAAGCTTGGAACATAAGAGGTGACTGAGTGGATATAAAAGTTCAAAAGTTCTGCTACAGAAGAATATCAAGAAAATATGTAATTGGCTTTAGTCCAAGAAGAGAATTTTTTTGGAAAAAAAAATAAAAATTTCTGCACCTTGTAAAACACTGCCTACACTGTCAGCATTTAGAAATGAAGGGATTCTTCTTTCAGAGGCCTTTCCCAGTAATACTCTCCTGGTTAATGAGAGAGGTACATCTTTTGGGGAACAGGTAATCTTTCTCTTCTCCAAAACTGGAGCTGGAATCATTTAGGATCTGCTGTTTGAGGAGACTTCTGTTTGTAGACAGCACATTTCTTAAAAAGCAGAATCATAATGAGGAGAGAAACAGCATGATCTTGCATAATTTTAACATCTGCTTTATTTCCAAGGATGAAGTAGAGCTGCAGCAAGATGAAGAGAACCTGCCTTATGAAGAAGAGATTTACAAAGATTCCAGTACCTTCCTTAAGGTGAGGTGTTTTTGCAATTAGAAGGCTGTCCAAAGCTGGCATAGTTGTGTTAAACTCTTTATGCAATGGATGGTATTTGAAATAGATCTTTAAAGGCTGAAGTAAATGACAAGCATTCACATCTACGGAAAAGTTACTTTTGAAAGGTATGACTAACTAGTGTTTGTATTGACCTGTCTAAAGATCTGAGTCAGCTTGCAATGGTGGCCTTGATTTGGAACTAAAACCACAGTGACAGTCTTGACTAGCATAGCTCACAAAGGCACATTGAAAAAAAACCCCAAACCCTGCTATTACTTATTTATGAGACTAACACATGTAATGTGTGTGTGTGTCCAGTTATCTCCCCGTTGCTCTCACTGAACTCTCTTTTGTTCTCCAGGGTACTCAGAGCCTGAATCCACACAATGACTACTGCCAGCACTTTGTGGACACAGGACACAGACCCCAGAACTTCATCAGAGATGTTGGTATGTCATAGGCTAGGAGATGTAGCTGCATTTTACTTGGTAGTTTAGTCTCTCTGTGTGCATGTGTATAAATATATAAATTTAAAATAATTATTTTCTTTTTAATCAGTTAGGAGGTGATTATTACCAAGCCTCTTACTCTTGTCTTTATTCTGAAGTATTTAACTAGGAAGATTTAAAAAAAACTAATCTCTCTTGGTTGCAGAAAGTAGATGAGTCTGTTGAGCAAATCTTGAAACCTTTGAAAGCTTGAATAACTGACTGATGAGTTCAGCTGTTTCCTGGACCATATTGCCACCAATAATGCATTTAGTGTGTTAAGTATGGAAAATACTGAAGTCAGTAAGCATTGTGGATAATATTTACCAGCTAAATTATGTAGCTGCTGACAACTCGTTAGAAGGTTCAACATATTACTGAGTTTAGAAGTTGTTGTTCTTTAACTTCGTGTTCATCCAGCCACCACTGAACTTACTACTGACATGTTACTTTGTTAGACCTGAATTTTATCTTTCTAAAACTAACATATGGTTTGCTGCTGATTGCCAGAATAGGTGCCTGGTAGGTATTTGTTTTTTTAAAAAACCAGGACACCTCCTTCTGCAGTTTTCTGCAACAGATCTGTATTTAATGGAGTTAAAGATAGGTAGAGAAAGTGTGTTTTGTTTATAGATGCCAGCCTAAAGAGGTTTTGTTAACCTATGAAGGCAATTAGTTTGTTTCTTTGTTATTTGTGAATGCTTCTGTGAAACACATCTGGATGTTTAGTACGAAAAGCATGCTCTTTTGACTCAGGTCTGTGTCGGTCTCTGACAAGCATCTGGGCTTCACAGTTACGCACTTGAAATAGTTACACACAGTTCGTTGAAATGAGTCCTAAGAAGTAGAAGCCCATGTTACTTCCTCTGACTTGTTTGCTGCTCAAAGAACTGGAAGGGACCAGATAAATTGGTTAATGAGTGTTAATACGGAAATGCAGGTGTCAGCAGCAGGAGGTGGTCTAGAACCTTTATGAGACATGAGGTATGTCAAGTTGCGTATTGATTAGCATACATTTTCTACATGACATCAAAAGACTGCTTAGGTGCTACTTAGTAATTGGACATGACCCTACAAAAAGTTAGAGGGAAGCTGGTGTTTCAAAACACCCAGTTACATCTTTTTGAGGTTGCTGTTGAAAGACAGGGAGAGAGACCCGTGAGGTTTGTTTTGGCTCATTTGCTTTATTTGTTGGTTATTTAACAAACCAAAACAACTGGAGTCACGTTGGTTGAAAATTCTCTTGTATCTGTTGCATAGCTGCTGATAACTGACTGCTGTTTCTGCTGGTTAGGAGTGTTTGACTTGCACTGGCTGGAAACAAGACAGCAGTGCAAACTCATGTTTTTAAGATGTTATATATTTTAGGAAAAGAGTAACTGTCAGATGTTTTATGTACACGTAATAAGAGCCAATAAGGTTAGATACCAAGAACTTTGCTTTTACTTTGTTTTAAAATTGTTAGCATTTAAAGTTGTAAATTT